CGACTATGCTGCTAACGATGTGTTGTTGAATATCTGAAACAACAATTTAAGTACATAAGTATGAGAAAAGACAAAAAAAAAAGAAAAAAGACATCAAACACTGATTAACATAAGATCAATCAGCTTTACACCTTATTACAACCAAATGAGGACATACAATAAGCTTTCTGGAGATCACTTTTGGCAAAGGAGAAGTTCTCCTTACCCACTTTCACTAAATATATAATCATAATCTGATGATTGAAACCAAGCAAAAATATAAAGAATATAAAATGAGTACATAGATGGTTTTAATGTAACCAAAGAGTTATATCAGGGATTAATGATATATTATTATTATCTGATTATTTATCACATATTTGGTTGTGAATGTGTTAGCTCTAGCATGGTGTTAAATATCTGTAATTAATGAATAAATGAAATAACAAATATTAGTAACAAAACAATTAACCATCATAACTCCAAGTACGACAAATATGCTGATAAGGATGTGTTGTTGGAGATCTGAAATTAACAAATAATGCTAAAAGGTTACATAGGAATGAAAATAAAGAAAAACACTGATTAAACATGAGCTTAATCCCAGCTTTACCCCTCCACTAACAGAAGAACATGAAGTTGGTTGACTTGAGATCACTTCTAAAGGAGGAGTAATGGATCTTCTCCTCAGGCCTTGCATTGAAAATTCAGTCACATCAAATTCAGTAACACTTTCAGGAATAGATGCTAATGACAGAAACAAATCTTCCTAAACGCCGTGAATGTTTCCTCTTTCTCCAAACAATTCCAATTATTAGTAGAATGATAATGAGAACAGAAATTAGAACAGAGAGGATAATGGTTGCAGTAGTAGGAAGAACTGAAAGGGAATAAATGATAAAAACAATTACATACATGGAATAATATCAGGGATTAATATTATTAGCTGATTCTTCATCACCTATTTGGTTGTAAATGTGTGGTTCTAAATATTCATTGTCTGAGTTATCAATATTGAAAAAGAAAGGTTGAAGTTCCTGAGCTTGAGGAAGTGTTAGTTTTGTCTTAAGGAGAATAATGTGGTCTTAAATGTCTTTAATTGATAAATAAATGATACAACAATTATTAACAACAAAACAATTATGAAAACTTCAACAAGTAAGTTATAAAATTAATGTGTTTCTTCCAAGGAATCTGATAATTGAGGATATTTGATGACTTACTTGTATGTGATGTAGCAATGGTTATATTGTTAAGCAATGAAGCAGACATAGTAGTATTAGTAGTAGTAGAAGTAGTAATAGTAGTAGGAGTAGATAGGAGCAGTAGGAGTAGTAGTAGTAGTAGTAGTAGTAGTAGTAGTAGTAGTAGTAGTAGTAGTAGTAGTAGTAGTAGTAGTAGTAGTAGTTGTAGTAGTGGCAGCAGCAGTAGCAACAGCAAAGCACTACTAGTAGTAGTAGTTCTTTCTGTGATAAAAGGAGAGAATAGTTAATTGAGAACATATAAACAGATAACATGTTTAAACTGATAATATCACATTAAGAATATTTACCCTGGAATGTGTTGATGTGAGCGGTGGTGGATGGTGTAGTAGTGGTTGTCATTGGTACTTGTGGTAGTGGTCTGCGTGGTACTTGCGGTAGTTGATGTTGTAGTAGTTCTCTCTGTGTGATAGAAGTATAGAGTAGTTTATAGAGAACATATAAACAAAGAAGATGTTTAAAATCTTCTTAGAAAGGGAAATGATAATATGACATGAAAAAAGAAGAAAAAAAAATCTTAAACAAAACCCTAAACATTAAAAACAACAACAAACAAACAAAAACAACAACAACAAAAATTACCCTGGAATGTATTGATGTGAGTGGTGGTGGTAGTTGTTAGGGGTAGTGGTTGGAGTGGTGGTTGAAGTAGTGGTTTTGTGGAAGTTCTCAGGGGTAGTTGATGTTGATTGAGTCATTTTCATTGTCTGAAACAAATGTTATAATTTAGCACCAAGAAGTCATAGTTCTCAATAATTTGTTTGCCAATATTACTTTCAATCATTATAAAATTACAACATTGCAAATATTATGAACACAATTCTATGTTAACTTATTATGTATTTATTAATGAATTTATTATAAACTTACAGATGAAAAAAGTTGATGGGTAATGTGTAAGTTGACTGCATAAAATAAAATAAAAAAAATATTTAAAAACAACAACAACAAAAACAAAAACAAAACCCAACATGTTTGTTAATTATTGTAATAGGAACTCATAATTCTAAATATTTTCTTAGCCAATATTACTTTGTAATTGGTAACATTTACAAGTATTGTAAATGACATGTTGTATCCTTAATAACAATTGATATTTAATCTCAATGATAAAAAAACCCAAAAAACAACAGAGTACCTGATTTGGGCAATCGCTACCACCGATTCGTAATCTGGTCTTCCTGGGATAGGTCACCATCTCACATGTTATGGCACTGCCAGTCAGCTGCACAAAGTGCAAATTTGGAAACATGTTTCCATCGATGGTTGTTGATTTCATTGGCCAATTGTCTCCTTCTAGTCGTTTGATTTCAGGAAAGACTTTGTCTTGTGCGAAAACATCACATGGTCGTACATAATTACACTGCATGAATGTTGTAGAAATGAAATCACATCGCTTCAGTTCAGTAGCTACAGTTGTCAACAAAACAATGGCAAACCACCAGGAGAGAAATGACGTCGTCGCCATGTTGAACTTGAAGATACGGACGTATGGATATGTATGACCATAGTCTAAAGTTCCCTACAGTTATTAAGATTAGATTATATTATCATTAAAAGTATGCCTAATATCTTTATTTCACTTATATCAGCTCTGACTTATAGTTCGTGGGATAATGTGATAATGTTGTAGTTTCGTATCCATTGATGCTCGCTCGCGACTGAGTGTAGCGGAGACTTTCTTGAAATGGAACATAGCGAAGAAAAACAAAACAAAAAAAAAAAACCACCCCAAAACAACACAGTCAGCTTGGCAAAAGTTCAATATAAAACTAACTTTAAGGATAACAGCTTCTTTTTATTCGTGAGTGCGATGTTTCGATACAGATTCTTGTACCGTTTTTATCCATAAAGTTTGTTCTTTATTGTACTTCCCAACTTCTAAATGCCACTCAAAGAAGTTGTGTTAACGATGTTGAATGCGTTGATCACCGCGCGAGAGATTCATACTATAGTCTTTTCAAATAATATGATAAACTTTTCTCTTTTTTTTTTTCCGTGAAAAGATTATATTCCTCATGCAGAATAAATTTGTACTCTCGCGTAACTTTGATTCTTGGATATAATGGAAAGTACGGCGAAATTCATGTATTAAATAGATGATTTCATTTTGTGTACGTACTTCTTACTTTATTCATTGATCCAGCAAAGAAAATGCCTAATATTCCACTCAAGAATGAAACGTTTGTTGAATAATTATATTTAGTATGCTTGCATGTAATGCAGAAATTCGGAACTTTTTGTCAGCGAGGAGTGGCATTGCATGTACATGAAAATATCGCTTCGTGACGTTAGTCGAGACTTAATTTACGAGCTTGCATGAAAATTTCCTCGATCCAGCAATTAAGGTTATTCATGAATTTTGATTACAGTTCTGTATATGTTATATAAGAGACTAAGTAACACTGTATCGATTAATAGTCGATAAATAACTATGCTACATTTTGGCTATAAATTCCCGAATAAATCCATTTTCGTTTTTACGATTGCATTTACATTCCAGATCATATAGTGATTCGCTTGGTAAGCTCGCGTGTTGATGTGAATTATATTCATTCACTTCAATTCTGCACTCACGGGGAGCAGATAACGTTATAAATCTGAATTTACATTGTCATTCCTAATGAGACTATGGATCATTCATATTTGCTAAAACTTATGAGGGCTAAGTATACCTCTAGATAAGTGCCATACATTATGAAACGTCACGAATGAAATCTGAAACCATTCAGAACGAAAAGTGTACGATGGATCATTGGTATTTGCTAAAACTTATAAGGGATAAGCATAGCTCTAGATAAGTGCCATACATTATGACACGTCACGAATGAAATCTGAAACCATTCAGAACGAAAAAGTGTGGTTGTGGGGGAACTAATAGTACTACTACCCTGGTTCATACAGACAGATTGTACAGGGAACAAAAGTAAAGGGATCCTTGTTCATATCGTCCCGGACACGTGTCATGTCACTGTCATGTATTAAACATTATTTTTGCCTGTTTCTGTAGTTGTCATGTCTGTTAGAACTTGAGGTGCTTACACTGAGAACAGCTGCCCTTAAGACTCTACCATTCAGTCCATGTCCTGTGTTCGGGAAGACCCGTGTAATGGCGTCCTCAGTAGCAGTCCGTGATACCTGTTGCAGTTTTCTCGAATCTTTCTCCCACATCAACGTATAAACCGAGGAGGTGATCTAAGAACAAAGAAAAATGGTGTTTTTGAATACAGAACAGATTTGTGCAGCTTCATACCCCGAATTCATACTTGAAAAATAGAAATATACCAAGTGCACTCAGGGCACACCATGTGCCCGAAAATCGTACCAATTCCATTCAAAATGTGCCTTAAGAGCAAGATATAATTATGGTTTTATAACTTGATTACCAAAGGGGATGTTTTTCATTATTTAGCCCGGTACATATTTTTCGTCCATGTCATGGAATTGTCACTAAGATGAGTTTTAAAAATGGCTATGAATGGAAATTGTATATAGGGATCCCTCAACAAAAGTGCTGACATTTGGCCTTAGTGTTTACAAAACAATTGTGTCAATTGTTTAGACAGTTTACACTAATGTGGAACTGAAAGACACACTTTGTTTTAACTGTGCCCGAAAATCGTACCATATCCATTTAATATGTGCAGCTTCTGAAGTTAAGCTGGAGCCCTGAAAATATGTGATGACAATTTGGTGTTCACTGGATAATTGTGTTCATTGTTGGAACAGTTGACACTACTGTGGAACTGAAGAACGAACCTTCTCCTCCGTGTAATTGCCACCTATATTTCCTAGGGACGTCACGGCCACGTTGTCCAGGAGGATGTCGTCCAGCATCAGGTCACCAGCATCCCTCCATCCGTCAACACAATCAGCCATTTAGACATATGTCGGAGTAACGAACCCCATCCATAATTACGGTCAAGGCGCTGAGCCTACAATGAATCACAAGCTATATCAAATGTGTTTAAGATGAACTTAACTATTCAGACGTGATGGCCTATTGTGATTAATCCTTTCAGAAAGTCATTACATCTGATGTGAATGTGAGTGATGGGATATATTTTTATAATCATAATGACAGAATTCAGCTGGTGGTAGTGGCACAATCATCAATTCAGGGCCGGATTCTCTACTTTATCCGTTTTCTGGGTTAGCGTACTTCAACAGAAATACATACCTGAGCTAGAATCACATTGACTCCATCAACATCCAAGAAAACCAAGAAGTTGAATCCACCTACATTTGCAGGTTCTTCCCCATCATGTCTTATTGTCCTCATTCGAGAAGCGATTGTACTTTGAAACTCTTCAAAGTTCACCACAACTGACATCCCTTTTCTAAAGGGATCTTATGATAACATCAATTCTGAAGTCTGAAATAAACATCAATGGAATTTCGTTATCTGATCTCATCGAAGAAGCTTAAGTAATAACGTTACATCTTAGTAAGTTTACATTAATCACTTTGACGGTCATGTTTATAGGTTGAGCAGGCATTTCTTATGGTCAAATGTTGCATTTGGGCAAGATTTACGCTGTCCTTGGCTGACATCCATAAACGTTACTCTATTTCTTATACTTAAGAGAATTAACTCCCTCACCTCCTTCCTTTTGCTGGACAACAGTTAATGGGTACATTCCGATGTGAAGCTGGAAGTCGGAGAATACCTCTGAGCGTGCAAAGATAACAATATAGTCTGAAATGTGATCTAAGGCACGACCAAGATTCACAGTTGAATCTGTATGCTAAAAAGTAAAAGTGTGCATAACATAACATTGCATGAAAACATTATTTGAAAAAAGTTATAAAAAATAATAACCCTAGATAAATATAAACAGACTTTGCATGAAATTTGGTGTCACGTATCGCACGTGGCACGTGCATTTTGTGCACATTGAACATACTCACTTTCTGCATGCTTTTTGACACCTGAAGTTCACATACCTGATATTGAAAATGGAAGGACGATTAGATATTCTCTGAATGTTGTTTAAAACACATTTAATTAATGTCAACCTTAACTGCATGTACGCATGGCACGGCTTACAGGAACTCAGCGTCTCAGTGTCGTTGGTATGCAAGAGACTGGAATGGCCCAAAATAAAGTGGCCAAACATTTTGGCCAGGCCTCATCTCTATGGAGACGTTTTCAACATAATGGGAACACGGGAAAATTGTCCAATTAAAAATTACTGTCGGAAATAGGTAAAAAAAATTGGTTTTTCGCATTTATATCTACGATTAATGTAGTTAATATGTGAAAATGTGAAATATCTGTTAGTACTAAGTTCGGCCTATCTGCAGTCTCAGTAGTAGGGAGATAGGAAACGCAGAAAAAGCACTTTATTGAGGAGAGATTAGTGCAGAAATGAGCAATGTGGTTTTTTTCTAAGTCGAAAGCGACTTATTTGCAACAGACCATGGCTTTATGCAAATTAGTGTGCGATGATATTGTATTACAAAGGAAAACTTTTAAATGCCCATTTTGAAATTGAAATTAGCTTCATTATAAACGATAGCTGACGTAAAAATAATAACTTTAAGACTGAAACTATAACTGAGTCAAAAAAGAAACTTCACATTCTTTCTTCAGGGCACTATAAAAGAACAAGAGATGGTAAGATGGTTAAATTGTTATTATTTCATTGCTAAGATCTGTGTGATGTACTTGATACACTGACAGTGCCATAATCAGTTCCATTAGGCTACACCGACGTTCCAAAACATGGGTATACAGAATGTCAAGTCACAAGAATAAAAATGCGAAATTTCTCAGTTCAATATCGTGTATGGCCGCCCCACGCATTCACCACTGCCAAACACCGTCTCCTCATCGACTGCCTGATGCTTGTGAACACAAGGTTGGGGATTCTGCGCCATTGCTCTTGCAAGGCAGCGCCAAGTTCCTGCAAATTCTGAGGTTGGTTCCTAAGACCACGAAGCCTTCTCCCAAGTGCATCCCAAACGTGCTCTATTGGATTAAGGTCAGGGGACCTCGATGGCCAGTCCATGACGTTGATTCCCGCGTTTTGAAGGAAATTTCGTGTCAACATCGCGGTATGCGGCCGAGCATTATCTTGCTTGAAATGTAGACCTGGGCCATGAGCCGCCATGAAAGGAACGAGTTCAGGGGGTGAGCACCTGGTCGCGGTAAGCAGCAGCTGTGAGGTTTCCACGGATGACCAGAAGTCGGGAACGGTTGTTCCCACAGAAAGCGCCCACACCATGCCACTCCCGCCCCCGAATCTGTCGACTTCCTGTACACAACATTGGGCATACCGTTCACGACGTCGTCTCCAGACTCTATGCCTGCCGTCCGCGAATCTGAGGGTAAACCTCGATTCATTGCTAAAGACGACTCGATTCCAGTCTCTGGGTCCATCGGAGGTGACGTTGGGCCCACAGCAGACGTTGACGTTGATGAAACGGTGTCAATATTGGCCCACCGTATGGACGTCAAGAATGGAGATTGGCAGCCCGCAACCGATTTCGAATGGTCTGTGAGGACAGTCGACCTCTAAACATCTTAGCCCTGGTTCGTGTAGCCGGCAGAAATCTGTCACGTAGGTGACGTAGGACGGTGGACGGTCTTCTGCTCGTGACGTCACACGTGGACGACCCGACCTTGGGCGATCAGAAGTGGGGCCAGTTTGTTGTAGACGACCTCGCAAGTCATTCACAGTACGACGGCTGCATCCCATTGCTCTTGCGACGTCAATAACTGATCTTTCCGCTTGCAACATGCCAACGGCACTTTCACGTTGAACATTTGACAATCGTGGCATTTCAAGTACCGTTAGAACAGTGGTTTAAAAGTGTTTTTTCAATTCTTGAGGCCAATGCAAACACGTGCATATGAAGAAATCTTCGATGCGAAGATCACGTGATCGACTGCACTAACGTCATTTGCACGACGAATGGATGGGTTTGAGTGGGTTTTGCTAACGTTTTTCTAGAGTCGAAGATAGGGATCCCATTTCGGATACATAGATGTATCATCAGAGAAAAATTATTCATTATTTTCAAATTACATTTTTGTGAAGTTTCTTTTTGACTCAGTATATTAAGGATGCAGCTACCATGGAGTCTCTCTATCACTATAAAAGAAACATGTAGGAGGGGTCGTCACAAAAGCAAAACCAGGATGGGTGTCGCAGACGGTGGTGGGCGTCGGGCTGGGGATAGAGATATCCCCTAAGATGATATAATCCTTTAGGGAATTAAACTGGGGAAGTAAAAGGCATGTCATAACAATTTACAAATAATATCCAGTCCTGTCGATCTTCCGAGATTGCTCAAGTCACCTATATATTTTTTAGACATTTAATACGATGGCTAATTTAAGCTTTCTATGGGTATCATGCTCCTTTACATATCTCAACACAAACTTTATGAAGAAAGACACGTAAGATGTTCATCAATAGATGAGACATATACAGCGCACATGAAAAAGCATAAACAATCTTTGAGATGACCCCTTGTGCCTGTATGCAGCACATGCATTTCATGCCAGTTGAGTCGACGGTCCGTCGTCATACCTGGCTGAGCGACCCTAATTGTCATCTATAGTCTGATCTATTGTTTTCAGCAGCTGTGCGTCTTTTTGTAAGTTTTGCCCGATTTTACGAGTAAACATGCTTTTATGGATATCCTATTACGCATCCCACTGAATGCCAAGTTAGGCCGATGTTGGTTATTTCGACATATGCTATTTGCAATTGTGTAAATTTTAGGGATACAGAATAACAGCCTAAAAACTTTTTTCTATTTCCGACAGTACTTTATTTCCAGTACTGTATGGAGCCGACTGAGAGGACCACAACAATCCGGCCCCGGCGGTCTGTAATACGTCCAGTTTTGCTCCTAACATCACCGACAGGCACATCTTGCAGACAGCATCTACGGTACAGGAGACGAGATCGGGATGGTGTTTTGTTTACTGACGAGTCGAGATTTCATCTGGACAGCTTAGATGGCAAGGCATGAATTATTACAGAGGGCGAGGTGAACAATATGCTGACGCGTGCGTTGATCAATGTCGACAGTTTGGTGGCCAAAGCGTTATGGTATGGGGTAAGCACCACATCTCATGGTCGGACGCAACTTGTCATTGTCAATGGCAATCTGACAGGTGTGTGATACAGGGATGAGATCAATGAGCCTTGTCTGCGGCCGTTCATCCAAGGACACGTAACTTCACGCAAAATAACGCCCCTCCACATGTAACAGATTTCTGAAACAGTATGCAGAACATTCCGGTACTCCCCTGGCCAGCTGTTTCTCCCTGTCCCCTATCGAGCACGCTTGGAATGAAATGGAGCGACGTTTACGTCAACCCCAGAGATGAGCCATTGACGTTAGCTGAATTGGGACAAAGGGATTGGTTCGATCATGGAGCAACATTACCCAAGCTTTCTTCAATCGCATTGTGTCGTCTATGCGTCGTCGTTGTCTGCATCAACGCCAATGGTGGACACACACGATACTGAATTTGTGAACTGATTTTGGACACCTATGACTAGTGTCAATTCATACAGATTTCGATATTATCCAATATATATTATAGATAATAACAGTTAAACAGTGAATACGGAAAACACCACAAATTATTAATGTTTCAATCTTTTTGCAATAAAATGGCATAATGCACAGTTAATAACTTTATTCCGGAAGTATGTATGTACTATATCTGAGGTTTGTTTGTCTCTTTGTTTGGTCTATTAGTATTTGGTCTCTCTCTGTCTCTCTCTGTGTTTGGATATATATTTATGTTTAATATCTGCAATATGCAGCTGATGAATGTATGTGTAACATATTCAAAGAAATAGAATCGTTGCTATTATGGAAATGGTAACATGGGGGATCAACAATAATAG